GTGGGTTTTGTCATGTAGGCAGGAGGCCCAGGACGGGCAGACTCCATAATTTGAATCAAAGTATTCCCATGCCTGGTAACTTCATTCATCCCATGCACTTACGCATTCCTACAGAAAACTTTCATTGAATATATGCTGAGGAAACACCAAGTCAACAAAACACAAGAAAGCAGCAGTGCCCTTAACTCAGTCTCTGGGGGGCGTGAGGGAGATGGTGAGGTGGAAAGACATGTAAGAGTTTTAGGAAGTGAGGGACTGTGAACTGATGGAGACAGTCTCTGTTGACCTGACTTCTGAGGTTAGTGATGTTGTTCCGTTAGTTGAGAGGGAGGGAGAAGGGTGAGTTGGTGGTGATTTGATGAAGAAGAGTGTGGAGGATGAGCTCCATGCACAGCATTTTAAAGCTCAGTCAAGGATTTTTTGGACATGGATGTTTTATGAAAATTATAAATAGTGTTTCTAACACCCACAAGTAGTGATGTACATATTGACATGTCACATGCCTTTCCCACGTAATAAGATGAATGCAAGGTCTTCCCCCAACTGTACCTACCACTGACATCACTTTTGTAAATATCCCCTAGAATTCTAAAGTGGGTGGGTGCCATAGTTAACTAAACTTTTCTTTTCCTGATAAACACATACATTCTTTCCCGTTTGTTGCTATGATTAATAGAACTGAAATAAGCATACGTTTTTGGACAAATATGCATACTTTCCAATAAGAAAGATATATTAACATGGGCATTGGGTTAATGTAGAAATGGTGTGAATAGTTTAACTCTTTAGAAATACTGTCAAAATGTATTCCAAAAATACTGTACCAATGAATTTTCTCACAAATGAATAGACGTGAATATCCTACACTCACAGAAAGATTTTGTGTTATCAATCTTCTAATTGTTGGTGAAAATTATGAATAAAATTTGGTGAAGAAATATTGCCTCGCTGTTATTTGAAATTGTGTCTTTCCTTTCTCTAATTCGGTTAAGTACACACTAACTTAATCCCTCAGCCATATGAAGTTGGATTTATACAGTGACATGCTGAGTAACATTTCTCTAGGCATGATTTAAAATTCTGAAATGGAGACACGACATTTCTCAAATCCTTTGAGAAGGATTTGATCAGAATGAACAGGAGCCAGGGAAAGAGAGCAGACAGGACACCCTCGGCCCATGAGGGTAATAGGGAGGATCCAGCGGTGTTATGGTTTGGTTGTGTCCCCACCCAAATCTCATCTTGAATTGTAGCTCCCATAATCTCCAGGTGTCATGGGAGGGACAAGGTGGGAGGTAATTGAATCACAGGGGTAAGTTTCCCCCATGCTGTTCCCGCCATAGTGAATAAGTCTTAGGAAATCTGATGTTTTCACAAAGGGCAATTCCCCTGCACATGCTCTCTTGCCTGCTGCCATGTGGACATATCTTTGCTCCTTTGCCTTCTGCCATGATTGTGAGGCCTCCCCAGCCATGTAGAACTGTCAGTCCATTAAAGTTCTTTTTTTTTTATTATAAATTACCCAGTCTCAGGTATTTCTTTACAGCAGTATGAAAATGAATGAATACAAGGGGAGAGCAAAGGCCAGAGTCCATGAGAGAGACCATATATGAAACGAAGTCCACAGAGTCCCAGGCAGGCTGTCATTCAGAGCTCTGAATCCAGAGTTCAGTCCAGTGGGGGCAGGAACCTGAGGGACAGAAGGGGTAAGGGAAGATGGAGGGCAGGACAATGAACAGGAATAGGCTTCGAAAATTCTAGTATCATAATCACCAGCTGGAGGGGTCCGTGTGATCTGAATGGACAGGCCTGTTGACTGAATGCACCAGCGGTGTGCTGAACACCCAACCCTCCCTCAGAATCCCCTTCCCTCTCTCACGAAGAGTATGGCTGGCTCCCTGCATCATTCTGGGTGAGTTCCCTCTCGACCACTCCGGTGGTTGTGTGCACTTTTGCCAGTGTCCCAGGGCAGGGAGTTGTCTTCATGCCTGCTGCGGGCTGCTGTTTTATCCCCTGTGGACCCTCCATAGAGCCTGGACTGAGCAACAGCCAAGACAGGCCAGGAATATTTATGAGGAGTGTAAGGTGGCAGCATGGCTGCATGGAGAGGAAGTTGGAGGAAGAGTGCCCTGGGACTAGTCAGCTCCAACTCTGCAGATGAAGGACTGACTGTGGACATGCAATGAAAAAGATGCAGGTGGTGACTATGTCTCCGATGGACTCGTGAGACTTCTGATCTCTTGGCACACGAGGAAACAGGTGTCCTGGGGCTCTGATCACTGGTCTATGTTGCCACCAGACAGTGTCTACTGTAGTGGGCTGGCCCATGCTGTGTACGTAAGCGGGTTGGATGGCAAGGCAGTGGAGTTGGCACCCTTCCTTGTGGAACTGATGGGGATATGTGGGGTCCAATAGAGGAAGCATCATGCACCATCCTGTTGGGAGCATCCTCACCTCCATGACAGTGTTTGGGCCTAGGGAGAAGGCATCTGCAGTGACCCGCTCTGTGGTAGTTGCCACGGAATTTCTGAACCCAAAGGAGCACAGGTGAAGGAACTGTGGGTTTCTTCATGCAGGCAGGAGGCCCGGGATAGGCAGACTCCATAATTTGAATAAAAGAATTCCCATGCCTGGTAATTTCATTCATTCCATGCACTTATTAATTCCTACAGAAACTTTTATTGAATATATGCTGAGGAAACACCAAGTCAACAAAACAAAAGAAAGTGGCAAGTCCCTTAATTCAGTCTGTAGGGAGTGTGGGGGAGATGCAGAGGTGGTGTGAATCGCCCACCTGAGCCAGGGAGGCCAGGAAGGCAGAGCCAGACTTGGGGACTGGCAGTGTGCAAGAAAGGGAGCGACAGCCTGTGTCCCGGCCAGAAAGCTCTCCTTCTGACACTGTCGATCTGGTTTTCCTCCTGGATGCTGCCTGTGTGTGAAAGCAACTGCTGCTCTCTGTGCCTAGCTGCCTTTGTTAATAGGGAAAATGCTCATGGCTGGTGGATGCTCACTTCTGCTCACCTTGGATCACTTCTACTGAAGGGGTGGTTTGACAGCAAGAAGACAGGAAGAAACTTTTGGGGATGATGAATGTATTTTGCACCTTCACTGTGGTTGTGGTTTCATGGGACTAAATATTTGTCAAAACTGTTTGATTTGTTTCTCAGTATTTAGGAGAAAAAGTAAGCAGAAAACCAGGAAGTATACAGATGACCTGAAAAGCACCATTAACTACTCTGACCAAATAAAAGAGTAAGAAAAGCACTGCATTCAAGATTGGCAGAACAAACAATCCTCTCAAGTGTGCATGAAATATTTCCCAAGATAGATGGTACTCTGGGCCATCAAACAAAGCCTACAAATTGAAAAGAATAGAAACAATAGAAAGCCTCTTCTTAGACCATAATGTAATTAAACTCAAAACCAAACACCAAGATATCTGAAAAATGCCCAAACATTGGAAATTTTAAAATATGCTCCCAAATAACCTATGGGTCAAAGAGGGAGTCTCAGGAGAATTCTAAAAATGCATTAAGTTGAATGAAAATAAAAATATACATACAAAAAGTGGGATTCAGCTAGAGTGTTTCTTTGAGGGAAATACATAGCATATTTTAAATGTTTATATTAGAAAATAAAATCTAAAATCAATAACCAAAACTATCACCCTAGGAAACTAAAGAAAGAAGAGCAAGTTGAATTTAAAGAAATTGTAGAGGATCCCCTCTCCCTCCCTTCCCACATTCCCACCTCTTCCCCCTTACTCCCTACCCCCACCA